CATATCACTCCATGCATATGTCATCACTGAGCAGCCTTCTTTCTCCCATTCTTCTTCTAGATTCTTCAATAATTTTTTGGTCCTTTGTTGTTCCTCAATTAACATAGGTCCTCTAAGCTGTATTGACTTGGAGGCATCCAACCAGGCCCAAACTTTCCCAATGCTCCACAAAACATTCTGAAATTGTCACTGTCAATTGCGCTGAAAGTAACATTTGCCTCATACATCCATCTAGCACAGTATTGATGGTCAGCATGTGTCTTCTCCTTAGATATGGCATCATAAATGTTTTTTTTGTCATATCTGTGCAGCCAAAGAAGCTACAGAGTTAATATAGGTTGCAAACTGATCAATGGGACCTTGGAAGTGCGGACTTGTACGAGTTCCCAACTCTGTTTCCAATTCCTTAACATATGTGTCCTTGTTTATATTAACACTAGGTGATTTTCCCGTGCTCATGCACGGGCTTAAATATTTAAGAAATAAATATATTATAATAGTTGATTGATATTTACTTTAAAATTTATATTAATTTAGTTTGTATGTATAATTTTTATTAATAATATTATATTATTTTAGTTATTATAATTTTATATAGATTATAAGTAGTCAATTTTATCATTTGGATATATATATTGGATTCTTTTTATTTCTATGAATTCAACTATAATCTTTTTTATTCTAAATATCTTAAATTTTTGATTAATTATTTTATTTACATTTATGTTGGTTGTTATCTACGAAATATAAGTATATCTTAGTAAGATTATGTATTTTAAGATTTTTTGTGCTTAGAACGAAAAAAAATAAAAACTAAAGTGTCTGATTCTAAATTACATAAGTAATNTATCTTAGTAAGATTATGTATTTTAAGATTTTTTGTGCTTAGAACGAAAAAAAATAAAAACTAAAGTGTCTGATTCTAAATTACATAAGTAATAATAAATTTTTGAAAGCTTATGAACACATATCAATATTTACAATAATTAAAATATTTTATAAATTCTAAATAATTTATGCCATAGATTGATTGGATGATAAACTGAATTTTTTTCTAAATAATTTTAAAAATAAGAAATTCTGATTTGCTTTAAGTATTAGATTATGGTTATATTAAATTCCACAAAGAAAATTAAACATCAAAAGAGTTATTAAGAAAACAGATAATTTTTACTATTAATTATAATATATCTACCTTGTTAAATTATAGTGTTATGATATATTAAAATAATTGTAGTTATTTGATCAAAATATGTTTATTATTAAATTTATTTTTAATTTTGTTTATAACATCTATTAAAATATGCAGTAAAAATGTGATTTTTTTTTGAGAAATTATATTATATAAATAAAATATAATTTATATTTTTTGCTGTAATTGTAAGATATTATAATCAAATCAATATACTAAAAAAAATATTTCAATAATACTAATTATAATTTTTTGTCAATTAAACATATATCAGTTTATGTTACTTAATTATTTTATGTAATCATCTAATAAAATAGATAGATATATCAAAAAAATAATTAATTTGAAAATATATATATTTTATTGTTTAAATTATTTTTTAAAGAAAAATATTTCTTTTCTACTATCAAGATTATTTGTATGAACTTTTTTAATGAAAACACATTATATACAAATATTTTTTCATCTAAGAAGATATAGATATAAAGTATTTTATTACTTAAAATTATAGTTTATGTTATTTAAAATATATTTAAGTAAATATTACTATTTTGTAAACTTTCCTTTTTTATGAAACCATATTATATATATACTTATTTTTCGTTTTAAATAGTTTTGTAAATTTTCTAAATATTTCTTTTTTATTTTATATTGATATTTGGAAGATTTTAAAAAGGAAATAATAATATTTAAATATATTTTTAATTCATTAGGGGTATCATAGTAATCAACCAGCGTGAGAGTTAACGTGAGCGCGACACCTAAGAAAGTGACTTCTCAAATAATATTATAGAGATCTGCCCTTGGTGCTTGTTATGTTTCCTCTTCAAATCCTTCTTCTGTTTTGCACCAAGAATTGCTTGCATGCACTTCTCTTGGTCTTCTTTAGATGATACATGTCAGGTTGAGACATTCCCTTTATGATGAGAAATGTGTTCTTTCATTCTACGAACACCACCAGAGAATTGCTTTCCACAGAATTTGCATTTGACTTTGTCTAAATTTTTTGGATCACATAAGACTTCAAATTCCCATCCCACATCATTTGAATTTCGTTTAAGAGGATGAGGTGCATCTATTGGTGATTATCCATCCTTTTGACTTTTAAAAGAATTGAAACACAATTTATTTAAGACAAACTAGTTTCAGAACTCAAACTTCCACAAAAAAAAATAAAGTGAATAACTTAACTACATTTACAAACTAACTTAAGAAAATTTGACTAGTAACCTAAACGATCATGAAAAGAAACACATAAATATTTATGGCAACCTAAACTGTCAATATAGTGGGTTATTTTGACCCAGAAAAAAAAATATAGCAGGTTGAAAAAGAAGCCAATATGAGTACGTGGAGACAAGTGGGAAAAGACAAAGACAATATGAGAAAACTGGAACTAAAACAGAGAAAAACAAACCAATATATTAAGTTGAAAGTTACAAAAATTTATATGTAAAATATGAATATGTGTCTCTCAAACTATAAGAAGTTATCATCTTCTATGTTTCACTACATTCAGATGAAATCACACAGAATTGAATAAAAAAAAACATAAGTGAACACAATCAAAAAAGAGAACTAATTATAAGAAAAAAAAACCAAGAGAACAAAAACAATCTCAGTTTCTGTTAATTTGATTTGCAAACTATGGAACAAGATATTACCTTGATTTCGTGAACAGAAAAAGTTTAGGAACTCAATTCAGTTTCATTTAGTCTCCGCTATCAATCTAAACTTTTATTTTATCTCCACATCTCATTTCCCCTTTTGATTTATCGAAAGATTATGGTTGGTTTGTAAGAAAAAAAATCCCCAAATGCAGTATGTTTGTGTTTGTGTTTGGGCTGGTATTGGGCTTACCAGCAAATTGCACTTATTTGATAATGGGTTAATACATAAAAATATTTCAAGAAACAAACGTCAAAGTACCTATTACGCAGTCAACGTGCCTATTACACGGCCAACACAGCCTTTATACAGTCAACGCCCAGCTCCACCGACTTGGCCATAATCGCTACAGTCTAGCTCCGAGTTGCACCTAGACAGCCGGCTAGGCGGCTGCATTTTCGAACAGGGGTTTTATCCAATGTTGATCAAAATCCATTCTGAGAAGTAACGCCTGAATGATATCTCATTCCACCCTATTATATTTCTTACTCATGTCCGTTTTTATTATCATAAACTTCCCCTGATATGCCTTATTGGTTCTCAACCCATGGAACATTTTCTGCGGTATTAGAATATTATCTGATATTAGTCTGCCTGCCACACACGCCGATTGGGTTTCCGAAATAAGTTTGGAAAGATAAGGTTTCAGACGTTGGCATAAAACCTTTGAAATAATCTTGTATCCTACATTACAAACTTATTGGTCTAAGTTCCATCATCCTTGTGGATCTCTCCGTCTTTGGAATCATACATATATGAGTAATATTTAACTTAGTGTCCAGAACCCCCTAAACCAAAAAATTGTTCACCATCTCAACCAAATCTATCTTTATAATTTGCCATGAATGTTTGAAAAAGAACTGTTATTCCATCATGAATAAAGCGTGCCTCCTCTTTCGTTGCTGTCCTGAGCAGTCTCTGATTCATCTGAGAGGTGATAGTCGGTGTATCTCCGCCAGAAAACTATCAAACTCTGCTGGGGATGTGAAAGTAAATAGATCCTCAAAATAGTCCATCGCTACCTTTTCCACCCTTTGTTCCTTCGTTATCCAATTCTCAGCTTCATCATGAATTCCCACAATTCTATTACGCACCTTTTTTTGTTTTTTTAATGCATAATAAAATTTGGTATTCGTATCACCATCTGAGTACCACATGTTATTACTTTTCTGGTAGCATTAATCCTCTTCATCCTTGTAAGCATTCCGTAATTTCATAGACACCTCCAAAATATCCTCATATGACATGTTATTGTCTGTTAGTATATCCTCAAGAGCTTTTTGAAGATCTTGGATTTTGTCTTTTCCATATGGTGGATTATTCTTCCGCTATTTAGCAATTTTATGCTGACAATTGCTAGTTTGTGTATATACACTACAAGAAATTTAAGTATTAGTAGCAGTTCGCGGTAGCACAAATTCACAAACTGCTACTAAAACTGACAAAATCATACCATAATTTTTTCATAGCATTGAAATCGCGCTAGAAAAAAAAACTATCAAACCGGATACACAAAAATCACGGATTTTGTTATTGATAACATTTTGGTGTGAAAATTTTATTTTTGTGCGCCAATACTTAGAAAAAACTTATTATTCCCTCTGTTTTTTCCCTCTCTTTTCTTTAACATTGATTTTTTTTCCTTACTTCAATCTATCTATGCTCTTCGTCATCTTCTACAATCGTAAACCTTTTCAAAATCAAAACTTACAAACCCTAATTCCATTCCAATCAAAGACACCGACTGAACCAAACCCTAATTCCACCTTCCTCTGTCGCTCTTCACCACCATGACCTTTGCCTTCTCTCGCTTCTTCTTCTTCTTCTTCTCGTCTTCGTAGCGATTGACTCTGTTCAAACTCCGACGGTGGATCTGACCTGATTTGTTTACTCCATGTCTCTCAGTCTGTTGCTCCTCCTTCTCCGACGAATTCCCTAGTCTCGTGTAGTTGCAGAGACTGGTGATGATCAATTGGTTAAGAAAGCTAGGAAGATTAGTACCGAATCTCAATGAAAGATGATTTCTCTACATACTCTGATTATCTCAACAACTTCGTGAGTTTATTTTCATATCTTCCCTGTAGAAAAGGTCGATAGATTGAAGTAAGGAAAAAACGAGAATGGAATCCGTGAAGGTCCGTGAAGAGTTCATTAACAACGGAGTTCCAGCGAGAGTGTTCTCTCCAAGCTTCAAGGAGTAAGCCCATGTAGATTTGGGAGACGAAGATGGTGCAAGCTGGAGTCTTGTCTGGACCAATCGATAGGTCATCAGCTCAAGCGATTATCCAACTCCTGGAAGCGGGAGGAATCCACGCTGATGTCAAAGCAAGACCCAATCCTTATATGGTGAGTAGTGCTCTACCTTTTAATAGATGTTGTGATTTTGTTTAGTTTAACTGAGGTTTTTGGGAAGGTGGAAACCGTTTCTGGAAGAATATTGGTTTGCGTTTCCAGATTCCTTGTAACACCATTGAAGGTTTGATTTGTAGATTCAATAGATAAAGACTCCAACTTTTAATTTTTTGTTCAAAATTGATTTTTTAACTGTTGTTGTTACAGGAAAGTGTGTGTGGAATGTGGTGTTCCTTGGCATGATATTATGGGCTGTGAAGAGTTTCAGATTCTTCCGGTTGATGAAGGATATCCAGATGATATCACATTGCATCGCTCGGCTAAGTATAAGAGATGGAGACAGTGTTTGACTTTGTGGTTTCTTATATCAATGTTGAGATCTCTCTTTGTGTTCTTTTGGTGTGGGCGTGAGTTTTGCTACACTTGCGGAGAAGAGTACAGAGCAGGACAACATAGTTGCATTTGTGAGACATTCAACTCAATGCCAAGGGTAATGACGCTTACTCAGAGCAAGAAAGATCTCAGCTAGCTCTGTCCAACGGTCCTTAGTGGGTACTGGGTTTAGTCTCAGAGATCACCATACTTGCCTTGAAACTTGAAAGGTTTGTTTATGTCTGAACTAGCTCTGATCCAACAGTCCTTAGTGGGTGCTTGGTTTAGTCTCAGAGATCACCATACTTGCCTTGAAACTTGAAAGGTTTGTTTATGTCTGAACTTGAGCTCTCTGTGTATGGTTTTTATGTCTTAGATCTACAGACAACTTAAGTATGTTCCATTCCACGTCTTTGGTTTTTTCAATTTCATATGCAACGACTCTGAGTGAAGTTGTTTGAATGGTGTATAGGTAGGAGGACGAGATGGAATCGGATCTAGAGAAACTCTTTGTTGGTGGGGTTTCATAGGACACATGAAGACCAGTTAAACCGGTTATAATGTTAAAATAGGTTATGATGTTAGAACCAATGTTAGAACATGTTATACTTTTGTAAATGAATTTCGAGTAATTGAATTTAATGCATATTTTAGTTTTAAATCAATTTACACTTATAATTTATGCAATATATTTTTAGCAATGAATAAGGAGGATGATTAACAAAAGAATGATATTTATAAACATTATGTTTAAAACTAAATTATCATTTATATTCATAAAGTATCTATTTAAATAAATTTTAGATTATTGGGTTTAAACCCATAAACATAAACTTTTTATCATTATAAAAAAATCATTTTACGCATACATTTATAAAGTACCTATATGAAAACTATTATTTGTATTTTGCATTTAAAAAAAAAAAACCCTAAACCCTAAACATATTTTCAAACCCTAAACATAAACTTTATAACTTTAATTTCATTATATAATTTAAATCTTAAACTTAAACTCAAAATTTAATGATTTTAAATATCTATTCTCAAGTTTTAATTCTAAACCTCAAACAAAAAGTCTTAAATCTACACCCTAAAACTAATATCATAAACCCCAAACTACCTTACATACAAAGTAATAGTGCAAGAATCAAAGTCAAACTTTAATTTGAAACTTAAACATAAAACTCATTATTAAAAAAAATTATTTTACACTTTAATTCAGTTTTAATCATAAAACTAAATTATAAACCACAAGACTAATTTTAAAAAAAATTATAAACTCCAAATCATAATAATATAAAAGAAAAATCGAATATGGTAAAGAAGAGAGAAAAAAAACACTTAACTCCAAAACACTAAGTATGTTTTAACCCCTAAACTCAAAACATAATTAAAACTCTATCTTTAACACCATAATCTATAATCTTAAAAATTAATTCAAAATTTTATTTAATTTTAGGTTATAACTTACAAAACATAAAACTTAAATCTTCAACCAAACTCTATACCCTATACCCTAAACTTTAACTCCAAACATAAACCTTATCTCCACATAATAAAAACCTAAAATCTAATTTAATTTTAAATTTTTTTTTATACAAATGTGTTATAGTAAGGAAAATAAATGTTATAGAAATAAATATTTAAATAAATAAATAATATAACACATCTGACAAAAAAATTAACAAAACACAAAAACAAAAGAAATACTGTATTTTTTTGGTTAATAAACAAATAAATGGACTGAAAATATGAACCAATCACACAGAAGTGCGCGGATTACCATCTTAACCGTTGATATCCTTTAATCTAAGGGTCAGATTTAATCCTTTTTGTGTTGCTTCTTCTGTCCATCTCTCTCTCTCCTTTGTCGTAACATTTTCTCTTCTTTCTCACAGATTTTTGTTTTTTTATTCTTCCTCTCTCAACTTTATCCTCTGATTTCTTCCTTCTTCATCCTCTATCTCACTGATTTCCCTTGTCCCTCTCTCTCCTCTGGCGAACTCATGAAATTTTGGTACGTACAGCTCTATCCCAAGCAGCGATGAACGCAGCTCCGAGGACATCTGTTGCCCTGAAGCGAAGATTTTCATATTCTGCCGGATTGATGATGATTGTAATCTTCTCTATTTCCCCCATTTTGATACGATCTAGGGTTTCCTTTAGTTTCGTCTCGATTTCACTCAATCCTGACGATTTTGGTAGATTTAAAAAGTTTATAGAATGTGTGAATAAGTTTCTCAGATCAGCAAATCTTCGATTTTTATTTTTTGTTGTTGTTGTTTTAACTAACAGTTAAATGTGATAAAGAATGTCTCTTTCTATCATGGGTTCTTCTAAAAAAGATTATCCATAAGTCTTGGTTCTTAGTTTCTGTGATTTACTCTGTTCTGTTTTGCCGTTCTCAGGTCCAGACGATCTGTTTGAGGTGAAGAACAACGAAGAGCATTAAATTGTTACGTCTTTCCAGTAATCTCTTCTTTGTTCACTTGATAGAGATGTGTCGGAGAAGACATACGAGAGACAATAAGAAGTCTGATGGTGGTGGGAAAAGCAGAGATTGATGCAGTTGGTTGACGGCGGCAAAGCGTTGGTGCAGAGTTAGGGTTTATTTTTTTAGGTTAAGCTGGTTTAGTTTTTTTTTCTAAACCGGGTTTATGTGTAGACCAGCCTTAGGTTAATTATGGTTTGGTTTAATGTTTGTAATTAGGTTTTGGTTTAATGTGTTTTTTAATTATGTGTATACTGATTTTAATCAATAAATAAAATTTAATTTTTATTTTATGAATTAACTTGAAATTTTATTTTTAATTATTTTAATTTAATTAATTATTCTTAATTAATTAAATTTTAATAATTAATTTAATATTTTTTAATTATTTTATTTTTAATTATAGCATTATATATATGTCATTATAAATTATGTTATGGCACATGAAAAATGTCATAGTAAATCATATAATAACAAAATTATGGTGTTATTAAAATAGTTTAATATAGCGAAACATAAATGCTATAATATCTCTAGTTTTTATAGCACATGAAAATACGCTATGATAGAAGGGGGGTCTACCATAGCTGCGGCTGTCACGGCGTTCTTCGAAACGCTACGAAAACCTTATAGTAGCGTTTTTCGGGTGCTACCAATACCAATATTTCTTGTAGTGATATATCCATTGATTGACCCTCATTATAATCTGTCCAACCAGAACCAATTGATTCCATAAGTCCCTTATTTCCAATCCATCTTGTATAAAATCTAAATTGCCCCATTCTATTAGGAACCTTATTCTCCATGTAGGCCACTACTAGATGATGATCAGAACCAACCATCCCTAGATATTCTGTGTAAGAACATGGGAAAATGGTGTGCCAATCTTTGTTTGCTAACGTTCTGTCTAACCTACATCTAATCATCACTGATCATTTCCCTATCTCTCGTCGTACTTTCCAAGACATTTTGTTCCCACGACCCGTAAACTCTAATAAGCCGGTGTTTCTTATCATATTGTTAAAAGGAACAAAAGAATTTGCGTTCCTCAAATCTCCACCCTCCTTTTCGTGATTTCCAGTGATCTCATTCAAATCTCCAATAATGAACCAAGAGTTAGATCGTGATAATCCATACCGAGTTAACCGTTTCCATATTTATTCTCTTAATTGTTGAACCGGTTCACCATAAAAAAGTTAAAAAAAAAAACACTTTTTCCCAAGGGCCACCTTTTCCACATCAATTATTTGATTATTAGAATACACTAGATTCTTTTTCCGTGCTATGCGCGGATTATATATTTTGAATTTATTAAATTTAGAAATTTTATTTATATGTTAAATTTTGTGTTATTGATTGTATTCGACTTATAATAACCACTTTGACCATTATATTATCGTAATTCTGCCATATTATAAGATAAGATTAATTATTTAAAGTGATTAACCAATGTCAATATGATTATATGTGTTATTTAGTATATTTCAACCTTATATGTAAGAATTTTTAATTAAGAATTATTTTATATTATAAGTTTGAGTTATCTTAAGTTAAGCTAAAGTTCTAAATAATTAAAGAGAGAAAATCATCCAATAGGTGATTTCTATTTCGCCACGTCACATAGCTTGATCCATGGAATTAAGTAACTGGATTTCACGTTTACTCTCTAAAAAATAAATCATGGCCTATTAGAGCATCTCAAAAAAGACACTCTATTTTAGAGTTTGCAAAACTCTATTTTTGAAGTTTCAATGTGTTTTTTTTCCAAAAGCAAAACTTCAAATCTAACTTTAAAACTATTTGTATTTTATTTTATGGTCCTTATATTTGTCATAATTAATATAAATTCATAATTCATTTTTATAAATAACTAACATATATATGAAAAAACATAACAATAATATTAATTAAAAAATATTTACTGTAAAATATAAAACTGTAAATAAAAATAGATAACTAAAAAATAAAATACAAAAAAAAAATATCACATTATTTCATAAAATTATTTCCATAATGCTCCATCTTCAATTACACAATACTTATTTGGATAATATTTTGGTGATTTTGAAGGTTTTAGAAAAAAATTACCATACTATTAATATTGTTGTAATATTTAAATTTATGTAATAACTATGCTTTTCATGTACCTTATTTAAAAAAACAATTTAAGTTTTTTTCTAATATTCGTGAAGTCTAATTTTAGTTTTAAAATAAGATAAATAATATTCAAAAGTTTTATGTATGAAAACTAAATTTATAAAAACAAATCTGAAATATTTATAAAATATAAAAATTTTAAGGATTAAAATGTTAACCGAGAAAATACTGAAAAATCCTAGATATCATATATAATTAATTGTAAGGACCAAAATGCAGATAAAAAGATGAAACTTCAAATTTGAAGTTTTGAGAATTGAAACTTCAAATATGAAGTTTCACTCTTCAAAACTTCAAATTTAAAGTTTTAAAGTTTCTTTTTGGAGAACCAAAAACTCTATATTTAATGTTTAGAGTATCTTTTGGAGATGTTCGTATCCGGTATATCTTCCAAAACATCCTCTTCCATTAATCGATGAATCCGACTCTTCAGTGATATAGTGTTCAAAAACAGTTACACATAATAAATATGATAGCTTATTAGTAAGTTGCACAAAAAGGGAAAAAAAAAACCTTTCTCTTTGTTGTAATCTTTTTTTCAACAACTATTTTATTTATATATAAAATGTAACATTATTAAATAAAATAAGGATATAGAATACAAAATTTGCTAATTGAAACTATTCCGTTCTTTCTAAATTCAGCTTTGGTGATGATGATGATGCTTATGCTTCTTCTTTCGAAGAGGTTGATGTCTTGTTATGTTTTCATCTAACCAAAATATTTGCTATAATTTTGTTATAGTCTAACCTTAAGAAATTGGTTAGAAGTAGGTTATAATACTCTCTTTTTTTTTTTAACAACACTCGGTTATAATAATAAGTTTATAAAAAATTAATATATTGATCACATAGAAATTGAAACTAACAATAGGTTGTAAAGTTTGCTTTTTATTTTTCTTTTATCGGTTAAGAGGTTCTTCTATGCTTCTAGTGCATGTATCTATCCAGAGTTCAAGCAGCTTGAAACTACTGATGTGAGCCTGAAGCAGTCAGATGCTTGGCCTGCAGAGCCTCGAGATGCTTATGATTTGGAGAAACTTGCAACGGAGGAGTTGTGCAAGCATTACAACAAAGATTTTGGCATTGAGTGCCGTATTGGAAGGTTCCATAACATTTACGGTCCTTTTGGAACATGGAAAGGTGGGAGAGAGAAGGCTCCAGCTGCTTTCTGCAGAAAGGCTTTGACCTCAACAGATAGGTTTGAGATGTGGGGAGACGGGCTTCAAACACGTTCATTTACCTTCATTGATGAGTGTGTTGAAGGTGTACTCAGGTTGACAAAATCAGATTTCCGTGAGCCGGTGAACATTGGAAGCGATGGGATGGTGAGCATGAATGAGATGGCAGAGATGGTTCTCAGCTTTGAGGAAAAGAAGCTTCCTATTCACCACATTCCAGGCCCTGAAGGTGTTCGTGGCCGTAACTCAGACAACAATCTTATCAAAGAGAAGCTTGGTTGGGCTCCAACAATGAGACTGAAGGAGCGGCTTAGAATAACCTACTTCTGGATAAAGGAACAGATTGAGAAAGAGAAAGGTGGTTGGGACTCAAGCACCGGTTCGGCTAGGCTCACTTCGAGCTGCTGATGGAAAAGAGTAGATGGCTGGGTTCACTACTATCAAAGCTTGGCCTTATGTTTAATATTTAAGGTCAGGAAAGTATGTTTAGATACATGTCTCTTAGGTAAGGTTTCCCTATGAAAAAATAATAAGTGTTTTTGGATTTTAGTCTTCTTCTCTTCTTCTCTTCTTCTTCATCCTGCTCGTCTTCTCTTTATTTCTCTTTGTAGTGAACCGCTAATAAAAAAATAAAAACAAACTTTACTACTTCAATCGAATCAATTGTGTCGCAAGACTTTCAAAGTACAAATGCTTCCGGAAACTTAACAAAACATAGAGCTGGGAAGAAGCACAGTTTTATAAAAAAAATGGGAGATATTGCATCTCTGAGTTACCACAAACCCCTAAAATAGTTCCAATAAACATGTTTTGCTTTGCCCAAAAAAAAAGCATAAAACATGTTTTGCCAAACGAAATCAACTTTAAAAGTTGATCATGCACTCCCACTTGCGTCAGCATAACTCAGAAGCAGAATCTTGAAGATCTACTAAGCTCAGTTTCAAATATTCAGGGGCACTTTCTCTTTTGTGAACAACGGACTTTAGTTTAGATTTAGCTATTTCTTTAGCTCAATAATACCAGAAAAACACTATCAAAACGCCCAAAATACCTATTAAATCAATCACTATCCAATTGTCATCTTACGGACACTAAGCACTTGGAAGGAAGGATGATCGTTATATTTTCGTAACCAAAATCACTATCAAACACCACCGTATATGACCACGTATAATTTGACTGCTCAATTCAAACTCCAATACCCATACTGAAAGCTTTTCCTAGTTACGTACTCAGGTAAAATATGTAGATTCTTTTTTCTTTTGCCATCTGTTGTACCTATTACCACCTAGAATATACAACCACTGGAATGGGGAAGGAACTATAATAATTAGCAATATAATTCAAACTTGGTTATCAGAAGTTAAGAAAGAGGTAGTGAGTCGGTGACTATAATCTCCAAGCTGCAAGAAAGATTTAAACACAGAAACAAAACAAATTTTCAGTTTAGATTTAGCTATTTGTTTCTTCTGGTCAAATTATTAGTTATATGATATTGTATTACTAAGTTGTTAGTTCACTCCTGGTTGAACATTATTAGATATTAGTTTAGTAACTCATACGCAATGAAATACATGAATAGATAAATCGATCAACGCAATTTAAGGCATCTGAATTGTACCTTTGGTGTAGTGAATACAACGCTTTTCATGTTGCTTTGGCAGTTCGAACAGCTCTTCGCCTGGTATACTCTCCCACACAGGAAGAATCTTTAACTATCACAGTATAAGCAAAACAATATTAAAGCAAATCAGGTCAACTGATCAAACAGAAATTCCAAATCCTATTGTCCTTACCTGGTGTTAGTAATAAATATAGATCCACATGAAACATTACAAAAAGATCAACACTCACCTTTTATAACAAATCACTGTCGTTGACAGGTCCCTTGAATCCTGCTATAAAAGTCAGAAACATGGGTGAGTGAGCCCATTGATTATATTTACTCAAAAACTTTTTGTTTCTAATTTTCACAAAAAGTTTGAACAAAAGAAGGGAAGACCATATTAACATAGAACTGGTTTTACAGTAAAAGAGAGACAGTGTAAGAAAGATATCGGTGATCATCGATACCTTGATCATTTAATGAAATCAATCTTAGAGCATACCTATGTGAAATCTGATATGTGGATTATGGTTCACCGTCTTCCGAGAGCTTCCCAGCTACTCCCTGAAATAACCAGAATAGCATAACTATTTATTAATAATGCAGGGATGCCCAATCTGACTGAAATTTGAACAGATTTTCATAACCGTTGTTTGAAATTCCGGAAGCTGTACCTAGTTTGAGCTGAGTTTCATATCATGGAGGACAATTAGCTGAATGAGGTTGTAGAAAGTGGATCGAAGTGAGAATCGAGGAGGAGGTTTATATAACAGGAGAAACAAAGGGAGGTGAAAGGATCTCGTTCTATCATGAAGATATGATATGATTAAAGGATGAATTTAATGAGGAGGAGTGGGTGCAATAATGAAACGTAGGAATGAAAATAAAAATTGAAACAAAGAAGTAGATGGGAAAGTGGTAGGTTGACATTCTGGGCTTTGATTTAAATTTGAAGTCCAATTGAATAAGCCCGTTTTGTAATGTTTGAGGAGAACGTGTCAAAATCGTGGTCTTCTATTGGTTTGAATTTATTTTCATATGTGGCTATTGTGAGAAGGCTAGAATATGGCATTTTAATAGAGTAAAGATAATCTTGATTTCATATCATTATTATAGGAAAGAGCAAGCTTTCCGCTCTTCCCATTTGGGTCCACCGTAACCAGGTTATCATAACCAATGTGTTATTGAAAACCTTATACAAATTCAAACTCTTACTTTGTCTCAGATAAAAATAAAAAATCTGGTTTATGTCTCGACCATATCTCCCAGAGAAAACTAATAGTCCATTTAGTTCCCGTTCCTTTCAATTCTAGCTTAATGTTCGCGTAAATAAAAATCGTGGAAATGCTCCATTGAGCCATTCACTCTGGGTTTAAGGAGACCCTAAACTCTGAAAATCCATGAACCATGAGACTCTTCGAATTGTGGAACCCTTCTACTTCTTCCTGTATGTCCTCTGTTACAGCATGTGATTCAACGAAAACCATTAAATTAGATACAGTAATTGTTAAGTCAACCTTCAAATGAGTGCACCAGAATACATTTATGGTACAAAGCACAATACAATATTTTTCCCAGCTAGTTTCACTCGGTAACCACAATCTGTAAAACCAATACTCTTATCTCTCAGTCTTCCTTCGAGTGAACCAAGAATGCTTTATGTCTCTAACGCCTACACTGGTGTCCTTTTCACCCAAGACATAGGTTGATCCCCACTGTGACACTTGGACCGTAGAGATAACCAAAGAGTACAGCACAACAAGCCAATTGAAATTCCTCATGCATGTGACAGCATGTCTGATTCAACGTTAGTAAAAACCACTAGACCTTTACTTTCTTTAATCCTTCTCTCCATGACTGATTGGAAGGACCAGCCAAAGAAAATGCCGCACTATAGGATGTACAGGCCTGCCCATCCATAGCTTCAGCCATGATCCAGTACACCACATGACTTCAGACCTATAAATGTAAAATCTTTTTAAACCATGTTTCGTTACCTGAAAGTGACTTCGTTTGTGGTTTAATGAGACCAAACACGAGACCTTCATCACTATGTATGCCACCAACAATTTATGACTACCTCTCAACCATATGTACCTAAAAAAAACCATGGAGCCACCACATTTTAAAAGCCTCGCCAATACTGAAGAGGGTCCATGGGAGCGCAGTTTTCCACAAAAGACATGAACACCAGTAGTCCTCGCACTCATTGCCAGCATAACCGTATCTATTCATCTCCTAAGTTTATACAAAGATAGAGCCAACAAGAAGAAAATAATAAAAGACATCGCTATCTTACTAATTCTACAAAGAAGAATTAAAAACATAGTTCATTCCCACGAAAATTCCCAGACATTGCAGCCGAGATTAACTTGTTCTCGGCTTATATCATATACTGATACGACACATAAGCCATTGTAAAATTTCTTTCTTGATGGTAACTTTTGTTTACGTATACACCCATCACATGTGCCTTACATCTTGTATGTAAGTGAGAACTGCCATGTTCCTTTTTCCACCACATTGTTTCACCATAATTTTTTAAAGCGACCAAAGTTCCAAAATTATAAGGCATATTAATTCCTAATAGTCTTTGTCCCATTTTTATATGAAGAAGTATAATGTATAATTAATCAACAACATTATGAGATACCAATACCAGCAATAAAAACCACTGCCATTATTATTCAATTGCTTAACTTTACAAGGAAGCTTTTCAAAACAACAAAACAAAAACGATAGACCTAAATCCATAGTGCTCTTGTAAACAACCAAACTGAAAATTCTCAACGAGCTTAGTATAATGTTCACTACAAGAAAACTAAGCCATTACTAGGAAAATTTACTAGGAAAACATTTCCTCGTAAAAATACTACGAGTTTACTTCGACTTTACGAGGAAACTTCTTTTCCTCGTAAAGTTCTCGTACACTTACGAGAAAAACGTTTCCTCGTAAAGTGGAAGTAAATTTACGAGGCCCTTACGAGGAAAATGTTATTTTCCTCGTAAAGGCATAGTAGAACCTTTCCTCGTAAAGTCCTAGTAAATCTTTACTACGAAATTAGGAGGAAAGGATTTGTTACTACGAAATTAAGAGGAAATGGATAGAAAATATAGAATATTAATCAAAAACGTGTTTTGTACCTACTT